GAAAACATCAGTTAACAACCATGACAAAAAAAACAGCATACAAACATTTATGAGACACTATACAGTTAAAATATCTGTGGCTGGAATAAAAGTGTCTTTGGTGAGAAAGCATGTTAAAGTTGCTTCCAGGTATACAAATTTAAGGAAATACATATCCAAATTGGTTTCTACCAATGAATAGGTTGTTTCCTTTGAAGTCTTATATTCACCTAACCTGAAATACATGAACTCCATTAAGATTTTAAGACTGGGCAATTAAGAAACTTACATGTAAAGATGCAAATTGTTTTTGATTGGTGGCAGGAGCTTTACAGTTATGACCCCAAAACTATTAAAATTATTTTATCTTGGTTTTAGAATTCTACTAGGAATTCTGTAGTTGGATTTCTTTTACATTTAGCTTTTATAGTATATATTTACATTGCTTAAATAGGATTTGTATTGTATTTTATTTCATTATTTGTAATAAATTGCCTCATGGATATTTTCATGAAAGGAAAAGCTAGAAGTATATAATGGATAAATCAGTAAATAATTAAAATTATTAAAGTCATAACTGTGAAGAAACAGCTATGTTATTTTAAAAAAGCAAACATGGTTTCCAAGTCTATTACAGTATACATGAGTATAAAAACAGGAGAAATATTTTGATTATTTTCTTCTTTCATGCTGAGTGTGGACTAGTTCAGATTGGTTCTTTTATGAATCCATAGTAAAGAGGGTCAACTGTTGGGTGAAACTAAAGTATTTCACTTTCTCCAAAGGTCAACCTTATACAGTATACTTGTGTATGCAGTGTAACACAAAGTAATGTAGGAAAAAATATATGACTCCATTTAAAGGTTGATTTGTATAACCAGTACATTCAGTGACTCTAGAATCAGTGTATAGAGGACTTAATTAAGATAATTAAGACATATTCCTCATTGCAGACAGCCATTTAATTTTATGGTTTGTCAGCATTCAGACTAGAATACTTGTTTTCTAATATTACCACAATGATTGTGTGTCCTATCTACATTATTTGAAATATGATAGGCAGCTTTTTGTTGTATACATTTTTATGATTCTTCACTAATAATGCAATAAGTTAGACATTCCAGTACACTGAAACATACTAGTATAATTCTGCTTTATCGCACCTCAATCTATTAATATATGTTTTACTAATTAATGACTAATTTTCCACTTCTAGCTGAACAATTGTTTTAAAGTTTCATTGATTTAATTGGCTTAAATTGTAATACAAAATAACATCACAGATTAGTCATTTTTTAGCTGGTGTATATTGTGCAATCATACTTTTTCCTTAAAACTTTGCTGCCTTCTCAAAAGAAATATTCATTTTATGATGATATGCATAGGATTTATTAGACAAGGAGCTGGCAGAGTCAAAAACTAATGCAAGATCTTTAGATAGGTAGAGAGGCTTGTCTCATAGGAATGCTCTTGCAATTAAGCATAAACAAACACCTATACTGCCTCTTTCCTCTCTTTTTTTCTTTTAAAGTTAGTAACAGTTATGTGTAATTGGGAAGGGAGAGAGTACGTTTTGAAAATGTTTGTGCAGGCTGAAACCCCACAGATCTAGAGAAATACTCTCAGACCTTTGCAAACATGCCAAAAGGCAAAGGTTAGAGAGGAGACAGAAAAATATACCTTAGCTATAATTTTTCAAAGAAAGTCATAAATAAAAGTTTGATCCAATATAGGAATATAGAAACATGAACCTAATAGTATCAAGAACAAATGAGAATTGTAACTCACATTATAGTCAGCCAATAAGATGGATGGAGCATCTAAACCAAGACTCTCACCCCTCCCTTTTCATTTCTGTTTTAATATTATCCTTTATCCTTATCAACAGCAAGCATGAGCTCTTTAGCTCCCAGGAAATCTGTTCTTACAGTTTTTAACCACAACTTGACACAGACCCCAAAGCAAACTTAGTGGTTAGAAACAATTTCCTCCAATGTGAGTTGCCTTACTATGCTATTTTAGATATGATGGTTTCTTTACAAGCATTAGAGTGCCTGCAAGCATTTGAGTAGACAGACAGCAAAAGGATCAAGGCACTTTCAAACAGATAGTAGATTGAGATGCACATCAAAAAGAAGGGACATATTAAGGTAACTTTTTAAGTCTGGAGAGAATGTGCCACTGCCTTGCATTTCTTTTTTCTAATTCTCATTTCACAAGTAACTTCCAATAGACATAGTCACATGTATTCACATCCAATCTTGCGGTTTGCTTCCAATGACTTCTTGAAGTCAAAGGAAAGGTAGATACTCCTTACCATTTTATACAAAAGTGTGTGTGTGAGAGAGAGAGAGAGAGAGAGAGAGAGAAAGAGAGAGAGAGAGAGAATGAATGTTTTTTACCTGAGAGTATACAAGTTTATTTACAATGCTGGTGGAGAGGGAACAGCCTGTACACCTTGGTCTGCCGAGAATATATTTCTTAAACGTTGTGTTTTAAGTTTAGACACGTCTACTGGCAGATTATAACAGGATATTAGCCAGATACGATTTGAAAGAAACGTGACTTAACACCCTTCAAATTAGCTTAAAGGCTAAATCATAATTAAAGTCCGGTAAGCTTCATCATCCACTACAGTATTAAACATTTCCTACGATCCTCCACGCATTACTTGAATAAGTCCGAGGGATCTCGAGAAGACACAAGAGTTGGTCTGTCCGCACCGTTATCGGAATGACTTCAAGACTTTTCTCTTGCAGGGATGGGCGGGCAGAAGGAATGGGGCTTACTTGATAGCACTCTGTAGACCAGTCGATAAAATCCCGGGAATATTCGGGGAAATGCTAGGGAACCGAGGGCATATCTAGTTGCCCAGGTGGTGGTAACAAGGTGCTTCCCCGGAGCTCAGTGGCGTTTCCAGAGTTGGCTGCGGTTTCCTTTTTACACTGAGACCGGCACTCACCGCTTCTCCCCACAGTCTCGTCCTGAACTATTTCTAGGGATCCAGAAATTTCTTAGCATAATTTCAGCAGCTTCAAATGCTTCCCCGCGCTAGTGATTTTTTCAGGAAGGCTCCGACGGTTTTCAGGTTCCAAGACTCTGGGCGCTCCGGAGTAACTTTTATTTTTTTAAATGAGGAACTTCGAAGTTTGCTTTTCCCCAACTGGGGGGGGGGCTCTTCCTCCTCCACCTGTTCCACCCCTCTCCTTTAAGGGTCTCCATTTCACAACCGGCGTAGGATACAGTCTCCGATTTATTTCATCTCTCATGGCAAGCACTCAAAATTTGAATACTATTTTGAATTAAACGAGTTGGCAAGCCTACAACTTTTGTTCTCGAGTTATAAGAGTTCTCTAGTGTTTAGCGTACTGGCGAAAGGGTGGTGGTGGTTAAAATTGCATATTTTGCGCTTGTAGTTTGTATGTGTGCATGCGCCCGTGTACGTACGTATGCTTGAAAATCTTACACTGTAGTCCTATCCATTTCTGATTGCCTTCTCTGAAAAGGTAATATGTGGTCAGAACGATGTTTTTCTTTAGTTACCCAGCCGGCAAAGTAGTGGCGGACTTGACTCTACTACTGTTGCTGCAAGCCGTAACCGAGCAACATAATTAAACTTAAAAACAGTTTATTTTCTTAGTTTGCTCTGCTGAACTTCTACTACACCTCAGCAAATACATTTTTCCTCACCACCGTCCTTTTTCCATTTATTTCTAACATCGAATTTGAATAAGAGTTCTGTGGATCTCTGAAGCTAGTTCCCTGCTCTGCACATGTACCGTTCTCCAGAAGGTTTTCCGGCCCCCTCTTTCTCTAATGTTCTTCCAACAGGGAAAAGGCCAGGGAGGAGTTGGGCGACAAAGTAGGAACACGAAGAGGAAAGTCCGTCCTTTCAAAGGCATTTACAGTGATGTAAAAATAAGTTTAAACCTATTTGCTTAGATGTTAGTCTTTGTTTTCAAGTTAATGGGGTTAGTTACCATTATAACCTGCGTAAGAACGATGAAATATACTTTGGTTTTTTCAAAATGACGTGCGTTGAGAGAGAGGTGCAACTTGAGAAACGGCAACCAACTAAATTACAACTGACTTTGATTGTAGTTCTTCAGAAGCGGCTGCCCCGTTTCACTGTGTCGCAGCTTCGCTATTTCAGAAGAAAATATTTTCTAACCACCTCATTAGGATGAGGCTGGCGTGAGGAGCAACCTCGTCGGGGCACACCCATCAAGGTAAGTCACTCTCGAGTGAGCAACATTCCTGTTGACTTCGCGACCAAGTTGTGATCTAGAGAATGGCCACTTCAGGAAGTGATTGGCCGTTGCGTCTCTCTAGGATATTATTTCCAAACGCAACCTGGAATTCCCCCGCGGCCTCCCATTCAAGTACCAACCAGGCCCAACTTTGCTCATTTTCCGAGTCCAGATGTAGGAAAGGCACACGGGTTCACGACAGGGATTCTTCACTTCGCTCATTCCAGCTCATCCGCAAGCATTTTTCAAAGGGAGAGTTGGTGCGAATAGCGCCAGGCAATACGGTAGGGAGAGAGGGAAAAGCTACGTTCCCCTTTGCTACACCTCTGCACTGCAAGTAAACATAAGTTAATTTCCTTCTAAGTTGGGATTAAGTCTCACTGAACCCGCGGACCTTATTTTTGAATAGACATATAGTACGGAGCACGAAGTGCGCGGAGGACTCGCTGCCTTAATTACAGCCCACTTTTTTGCTTCATCAATCTCTCGGGCAATCATTTGTTCTCCCACCCTTGCTATAACAACTCAGCTGACCTAACATGACCAGCCTATGTAAGAGCCCAGGCGAGGGGAATTAAAATGTAAACGTTAAACTAAAAAAGAAAGTATTAGTCAACAATAGCAGAGCTCCTTCCCTCGCCCTGAGAAAACCGAGTCAACAGCAAACATTTAGTCCATTTATTCCCTTTCTTCCCTTAGGATGTACAAATCAAATTGCGGGGGAGGGGGGAACCTCACAAAGAAGCACCAGCCTCGTGTCCGAATAGTAAGCGGCGCATCCAAAGCCCTTTTTGAGAGAGAGAGAGAGAGTCGGCGATTGTGGGCGAATATATAATGAAGCGGTCTAAGTTCATTAGTGTTTGCAATCAGCAGCGCGCAGACACCCTCATCAGGGCAGAAAGCTGCGAAGAGCCATTCATCAGTGTGAAGTGTTGTTCATGGATGACCCCTAAATCATGGCACTAGTAGTAGATGCACTGATTGGACACAGCATGGGAGACTCAGCACTTTGTATTAACCAACAGAGGCGGCGAGGATGAGAATGGGGGGCGACGCAAAAGTGGTTCAGTCCAAATGACAGGAGGCGGCAGCGAAAGAGGCGACTCGTTGCACAAAACTTAGGCGGGGAGAGCAGCTGCGAGCTTGCCAAATGCCGAAGCAGAGGAGCCGAGAATTATAAATGGCCAAATCCATTCTTCACTGCCCGGGCTGGGGAGATGGATCTCCCCGTGCTTTATGGTAGGCGCCTCTTTCCTGCGTGTGCGCCTCTCTCGCTCCCTAATAAGGGAGGCAGGGGCTGAAGCTACCGCCGCCGAACCCGTTCTCCCTTCGGGGTACCTCCCCCCGCTCTAGGTTTAGATGCGCCTGGCTGCCGTTGCTCCTCCCCCCCGGTTTCTGTGGCACTTTATTGGGGGACCGTGCTCTTCCTTTACACCTCCCTTCTTTCGAGGATGAGCGAAAATAACAGTGACAACAACACTAAACTCCCGAGTCGGGGGAAGAGACGCAGCCCTGGAAGCTGTGTAGTGTGAATTCCCGAGGAGGCTCCTTTCCCCTTGCTGACCCCTGGCTCGGCAGGACCGGGGACGGAACTTGCAATACTTCTCTCTTTTTTCCTCCCACCCCTCCTGCCCTTCCCCTACGACGTCCCCCGTTCGGTCGACCAAACGGGCGGTGCTACCCTTCGCCTCGGCGCTGTTGGGCTGACTGAGGAGAGGAGGAGGGAAAGTCCGAGTTGAGGCGCCTCGGTAAGTGGCTCCGTCTCGCGCTCTTTATCGGTCCTAGTGCCCGCGGGCCCCTCAGAACCGGAAGAGTTGTGGCGAATAGCGGCGGGGGGGAGGGAGCGTTCGAGGGACGCCCGAGCGGCTCTTTCTAACATTCCCCAGTTCTCTGCCCTAAAATCCTGCCTGCTTGGCGGAGCTTTAGCTGCGACCAGCCTCATATGGAGCTTTCTTCTCTCTGGAGTTGCCCAGAAACTTTTCTCTCCCTCCCCTCCCGGTTTTCTTGGGTTTTTGTACCGAGGCTCTTTGCCGACGGCGGGGCTCGGAGAGGATTCAGTTCTTGACCGAGAGAAAAAGGGAAGAAGTGAGGATGAGTTGGGGGATTGGCTGGAGGGCAAGGAGCTCCCCCAGGTTCGTCCTCTTGGTGTCAGATCTGCCCGCGTAACAGTGCTCGGCGAAAGGGATTGCCAGGACCTGTAGAAAGTGTAGATCTGGTCTGAAATGGAAAAGGAAAACTCCCAAAAAACGGCAACGGGGAGTGTTGGAGAGGTCTCTAATTCAACTTGATCTCCTCAACTCCTAGAGCGAGGGAGCAGCATTGACATGACCGGACGGACCATCTGTTGAAATCCGCGTTGTTTTTGTTATTCCATCGGTGCTCCAGGTCTCAGTCGGAGGATTTGGCACTTTAAGATTCAGCACGTTGTCCTTCGCTGTTGAATTGAGCTCCTCCAGTCGCCACACGCCAAGCATTTCCTTCTAAGCTAGTTATAGTCTACCTTTCAGAGCTGTTGGACTGGGGTGTTCCACATAATGACAGTATGAATGTGACTGGTATAGCATTTTTATCCTGTTTGCCTTCACTCCAGTTTATCAGTTCGGATGTTCGGGTATGAAGAAGGTGGAAGGTTTGTAAAAGCCTGTTTTGGCTGTGTGTGTGTGTATCTTATTCTTACTTTAAGAAAATATATCAAACCTTTATAGACAGTACCAAATCACTGGATAGGTTATTCATTTTCCAAATTAAACATTTGAAATTTTTACCTAATTTGTCTATATTTCTGTGGTCAAACACACAAGTGTATTATCTATCTAGTATATAGATTACTTCTGCAGTATTTATTCGCATCAAACTTAATAGTCTATAATTTAACAGATTGTTAACTTAATTATGCAGCATAAGAAACACTAAAATTTTGTAATAAAAACATAAAAGATATCTGTATATAAATATGGCTATCTAATAATACATAACTGTTGTTGCTGTTTGCAGGATTCCAGTGACCTGATCTTATTGTGCTTTACAATATATTCAGTTAGTTTACATTTTTATATGTATAAAAACTGAGGCTAACTTCTGAGACTTGAAGTGTAAGAATGTTTGCTTTCCTAAGCCAAAACATCTGCTATTCTAATATGAATTTGAATATTTTATTGACTAAAGAAACACATTCAGTTAAAGCTATTTCTTTAAACTTTGGATAGTAGTTTAAATTCTAATGTTAGTGTATATATTTAGCTAGATTTATTGTTAAAGCCATTAGGCCACAGAAGGAATTCTGAAAAAATGTGTACACAAGGAACCTAGTACCTAGATAACCTTATGTTACTCTATTTCATGTTACTCTGTTCAGCTTATATCCATGTGCAAGAAACTGAATTGACTAGATTGAACTCTGTGGTGTCCACCAGAATGGTGTATGTTACTTGGCTTAATTTGAAATACATGTATAAGTATAAATATAAAGTTAGAGTGAGTGTAACTTTTGTATATTAGAAAACAGGAAAAATTCTTAAATGTATTGTGTATAATGTATAGGGATCAGTACAGTAAGGGTTATATGTAAGGAAATACCGAAAAAGTACCAATTCTGAGCCTTTAGCTGTTTATTTTGAAAGAATTTTCCTTCAGAAGAAGTTTGTATTTCAGAATAATAAGTTGACTAAGGAAATGATGTATCTATCTAACAATGGACAGATTAGGACTAATGTAGGAGGATTACTCAAAATCCAGTTAGTAAATTATTAATTCATTTATTTTTTAAAAATCAAGTTAGAATTATTGTGGCTTAAAGATTAAAAAAAGATATTTGGAACTAATACACCCAGACATTTTGATTTTTTTTAAAAAAAGAATCACAAGTGACTTAAAGAATACTGAGATTTTAAAAAGCTTATTGGCTGCCATATTTAGCACCACCCCAAAAGAGTACACATGGAGTTAAATGTTGTTATAATGCAAGGATATATGGGGGAAAAGTAATCAGTGTATTTTATCCTAAGCATAAAACAAGATTCCTGTTTTGTCAGTGTATAAGTCAAGTTTGATACATGATTTGGGAAAAGAAGGCCTTACATACGGATACTACTTTGAAATGTACAGATGATGAACCAAACAAATATTTAACTTAGCTTTAGGAAAGGCTCTTTAGCTATGATTCTTTGAAAAAAATGGTTAATATATTGTTACCACAGTTACTCTCCTGCTGTTTTCAATAGAATTAGATAAAAGCAATATATTTTTAATGTTGTGGTAGAAAAGTGCTGAGATCTTTGCAAGCTTCCATGTAATTGAATGTTCAAAATTTTTATGAGTTTTTATCACTAATATATTACACAAACAATATTTGCACAAAAAATAAATTCCATAAATCTAGATGTTTTTGTTTTCTTCCCTCATCTGTTTCTATTAAGCTTATTTTAATAGATGTAGCTATATAAAGGTTCTTAACATTTAAGATTGAGAAAAGTAGCCTCTTTAAGTTAAATTACACTTTCATATGATAGGTTTATCTTATCTTTAGAATGATAATGTTATGCTTAAAAATTGAATTATCCTAGTTGTATATGGCATTTAAAGTGGCAGCTTAATATTCAACATAATACAAAATTTTTAATGTTATAGCTAAGTAAGTGCTACTTAGTGAAATATTCTGTTTTTGACCATTTTTCAAAAATTGTTAAAAGTCATATTTAGATTGTCAAATATGTTTTTAAGAAGTTGGTTTTGAAAGTTGCTAAATATGGACAGCATAGATACATAAAAAGAGCCTGGCATTTTTTTCTAGTTGAAAAACTATGTTTTAAAATAAGATTTACTTTTAACATTTCTGTTATTTTTTAATAATAGATTTTGAAATTTCTTAATAATAGTTTGCATTGTGCGTACATTTCAGATACATTGTTTTATAACATAAAAGTATGCATAAATACTTTATGCTGAATTAACTTGTATAATAATAAAATTGTTACATTTTGATGTCACTTGTTTAAAAATGTTAAAGATTTTAGGATTTTTCGTCAGACTGCTGTGTCATGCAATTCTCATCTTACTGAAATCTTAAGTGTCATAGAAAAGCTGAGAAAATAGTTTTTTTAATAGAAAGAACAATTTGTTTAATATTTGTTTATGTTGATCTTTAATTCACAATTAGGCTGATTTATTAAGCCAAACCTAATCAGTTTAAGAAACTGATAATCTGACTATACACTTACACTTATCACAAAATAAACATTTCCAAGAACATAAAAACAGCAATTGAAATCACCTGTTATTCATAAATTAACTACTTTAACACTACATTGCAATGTTGGTAGATATTGTGTATTAGTGTAAAGGTAAAGGAATATAGTTTTTTATTCTTTCCTAGAAACAGTAAGAATAGTTGATGTTCTCATTCCTGCTGTGAAATTTGCATATTTCTTCTTTCTCTCTCTGTTCTTGTCTCAGCTCTGGCAGTACGTGGTTACAAATAATATTTTGAATGATTTTGGTAACTGTATACAGTTCATTTAAAATATGCTTTTCCAGGAAAGATTAAAATCCATGTATTTAAAAATAAATCATAGGGTTCAATAATATAGTTCTAACAAAGCAGATAACTTAAATGTTTCTAAATGTGGGTCTTTTCAATCATGTGGTATAGGATAATATTTTGTATTATATACATTGAGGTATATTTTTTAGATACAAGTCAAAGAATATTTTATTTTGGAAAGTAATACATATTTGGAAAACTGCAGTTTACTTTATAGAGACCATATAAATATTAAAATAGGAAAATGAATCCTGACTGACTTCTTTAGAACCCAGTATTTCAATAGGAAATATATAAAAAAAATGTGTAGCATTGCTTTCTCTTTTCATACTAAATATATAGATAATGTACAGCATCCTGCCCCCCCCCCCAATTAAATAAACTGATTATAAAACTATTTAGAGTTTCCCTATTAGGTAGATGTTTTGTTCATTCTATGGTTTCTACTTAAAAATATTTAGGCTATTAAAATATCTAAAAAATGAATGGTATAAAAGTATGCAGTTAAGTTAAAACAATTAAGTTGATCATAGAAATCTAACTACTTATTTTCTGTGTGAATATCAAGACATGGGCAGGGGGAAGAAATCTTTATACTTCTGCATTTATTATGACCCTAACTCAGAAGACAAGTTGATAGTATTATTCCAGATGTTATTTCATTAATTAGCGGTCATATACTATTGGATTGTAAAACTGAAAAAGTGATTAAATTCAGACTTGATAAATAAAAAGAAGCACTTATATTAATAGTCATGAAATAACTTCAAACTAAGTATAATGTTTGCATTACCTGAATTAATTGTACATGGCATATACTTCTGGCTTTCGTGTTTTATTACAAGGAAACACAAAGGATAAAATATGGTAAAATATCCATATGAACAAAGATTCTTTTAAAATTAACATTTGTGACTGAATAACCTAGAAATTATGCAATCAATCATGTGTTTTTAGTTCTTTTCTATAATTATAACACTAAAATATAAGTGTGCAATGCAAACATGTATTATGGCGATTTATCTCACTAAGTTTCTACTTTAAAGATAAGTCATTTTTTGGAAGACTGTTTTAACTCATATTGCTATAAATTGAGAATATCAATAGGTAACTGGGGTGTAATCTTCATTGGAAGAAATGAAGTCACTAGTACTGTTGTATTTGAAATATAGTTTACATCATAAATATTATTTAAAATGCCTATAGTACTATAACATTTCTTGTTTGTAAGTCTCTTTCAAAATATTAATAAGAAGCACACTAAGCTATCACATAAAGAAGAGGCTACTTTTCTCAGAACCATATTTAAAAGAAACTGAAAACTCAAAAAAAATTACTATAACATACTTAATATAGCATTAAGGTTGTAATCTGGTACATACCTTTTTGGGGGTAAGTGTCTTTCAATTAAACTGGTATTACCTCTGAGTAAGCATATACAGGAATGCTTTATTAAATGATGAAACAACTTTGATGTGTTCCTATCTCATCATTACTCCCATTTTGTCAAGTTGTGGAAATAGTTTTATTTAAGTGAGTGTTTGAAGTTTAATAATGTTGGCCTACTGCTAATTATTTTTTAGGTTTTATCATTTTGGGACAGAAATTGTACTTTGTGTTGATGTGGTTTATTGTATGTTATTTTATGTTTTTAAACATCTGGAATATGGTATATAGGCAGTGTAAAAATACTGTAAATAAACACATCCTATGTAAAGTGATGAAAAGTTCTGTGAATTAAGTACAATGAAGAATGGCTATATAAAAATATTTAATAATTAAAGAATATAATGGATTTAAAGGTGAAGAATATGTTCTAAGGCCAAATAATTTAAGCAGACTTTGCTTATTATGTCATACTGAATTTAATAGGTTTTACTTCTGAATAAATGTTTGGATTCTTACAGGATATTCTTTCAGCATTGTTGGATTTGCCATATAATAGCTGCAATAAAATTTAGGATCCATTGCTTGTAATGGGATATAATGGAACTGTAACTATGGGAGTTGAGAGTCAGCATTTCTCAAGATAGAGATGTTAGGTGTATCAACAATTGCCATCCAGCATCAAGGCTGAGAAGTTAAACCAC